AGTGTTGCAAAAATTTTCTTCCTTGTTCAAATGGTTCAAACTTCAAAGATAAACATGGATTCAAAAATCTTGTAACGATGACAAAATTCACTGGATTTCTGATGTGATTAATGGGGTTTGGATATCGGAGGGTTTTGAGATCAAACCCAAGAGAACACGTCATTCGGGTTTGAATGATTGAAAGATTTTTTCCTTCCTATGGACCTACCTCAAGAGTCGTGGGTTCAATTTATTCGATTTTGAAGTCAAGAGCTTTTCTGTTTCTTTTGATTTAGAATCGATTGGAGAGAAACGCAATCAATATTTGGAACACTAACACCAAGGTACACAACCTATAAATATTTGATTGATCTCAGAGATTTGTGTGAAAGTATGCTTTTGGTTTCAAAATAAGTCTGCTAAATTTAGTGGTTTTGGATGGTGGATTAATTTTTGTTGGGCTACGTGTTTTTGGTATGGGATTGGTATCCTTGTATCTTAGATTTTGGTGAATCGTGGGAAGATTAGATTTTCTTTTGGTCATGCACATCAAGTGCTCGATCAAATGCCTGTGTGGGGTTTATGGGTTTTGATGACATAAGGGGTTGTGACAGGGGTTTTACAATACTAGTATGAGTTGTTCTGTGAGGGTGAGATGTCAAATGCATTACAATTGGAGGATCTTTGGTGTTGTATCAAAATTTAGATTTTTGTTAGCCATGACAGCAATAAAGAGGTAAGAAGGGGCAGCATCAGTATGTAAGACTAATTATGCACAACAATACCAGGTTCACTCTCTACTTAAGGTTTATTGCATTGTTATGTGTTGTTATGTGCTGAAATGGGAGACTAATTGTTTATAAAATGTAGCAGGGGAATGCTCCATCAGATCTTGTTCTCTGTATTGGCCTTGACAGTTTTTGTTTTGATAGTTGGGACCATTTGCTTTGTTTTGTGGTATGAATTTTACTTGTATTATGAATTTAGGTACTTTTTATACTCATTTAATAAAATTATTGAATTACTAAAAAAATAATAGGTATATGTCATAATGTCTAAGAATTTAAGTTTTCATATTAAAATGATATTAGAAGCATTAGGTTTTGTATATTAAAATGGATGAAGAAGGGGGTTTGTGAAAAAGAACAAAGGGAGTGTTGTATTATATGATTCATCATCAAGTAAACTAGAAAATAGTTTAATTATTTTGATACAAATTATCTTTATCCTCATAGATCGAACCAAGGTTGAATTCCAAGGTCTTGCTCACGGCTGAACCTTTGGTCTAGGCCTAGCTTGAAATAACAGGTCTTAGGTCTCAGCAGCATTGACCTAGGTTGACAATCTACTGGGAATAAGTTGACACCATACCCTTGAAGTCCAACCTCATGGCTAAACTAGGGATGACGTTATGGCAATAGGATGAGGCAGTGGCTAATCTCTGCACCCTCAAATGTAGGATTGCAAACGAGACAAATGTGCATATATTATAAGTTGTTGAGAGGTTAAAAATGTATATATTTAAATAAATTTAATAAATTAATTGATGAAATGATAAAAAAATA